ACCCGGCCTTCCCACGCCTGACCGAGACAGCCGTCGAATCATCGCCGTCCGCTGACAGGCGGTTGGACGAAGGCGAGCAGAAGATGACGTACGCGCAACTCATCTACATCGCACTCCATAGCACAGAAAAAAAGGCGATGGGGCTAGGCGAACTCTACCACTGGTTTGAGCAAAACACCAGGAGAGCCAACAAGGGAGGCGAAGGATGGAAAAACAGCGTTCGTTCGAACCTGAGCGTAAACAAGGTACGCGAGCGAGTTGCGCCAGCGTTGTGACGGTCTAGTCTTTCCTGCTAAGTCGTAATCTGTGTTGCACAGGCCTTCCAACGAGTGGAACGGAAAGGCTCCCTCTGGCAGCTCGCGGAGGCAGGGTTGACGGAGTTCCAACCAACGCGTAAGCCCCGAACGGATCGCCGGGCGAGTCGCAGAAAACAGGCAGAGGGGTCATACAAATGGAAGATCAGTGTCGCATTACCTCCTCCGTCTTGCGCACCCACTTTGCAGGATCACTCGGAGGAGAATGTGTCCGGAAGTGATTGCGGCGACGATGGGTTTTGGTCATTTGACGGCGGCTTCACGTCGCCCGAGAGCAGCCAGCCTGAAAGCGGAACCTCTACCGATTATCCCACGCCGACACCGATTACTTCGACGCAAGATGGCTTGGAGCACATGCATGATCCGCTATGGGCTTGGAACCTGGATAGTGGGCGCTACCTCCACTGGCCCTACTGCAGCTGCCTCTGTGGCCGACGACAATTTTGTTGGACAGACGTGAACGACATATTGCCATCATGCGCCCCGACAGCGTTTGCTCCCATGTGGACGAGCATAGGTGTGGGTTCTAGTCCGCCGTCGGAAACGTCTGTGCAATGGGAGATCTGATGGTTGAATCTGGTTTTGGCAAACTAGGAGTACGTTATAGCACTGGGGGGCATAGAGGAGCCACTGTCTGAACGGCGCAGAGATAGAAATACAGACAGCGGATAAGAAATGTGCTGTCATGCCAGAGAATGCATGCGCCAATTCGATCTTCCCGCTCTTGATGTGTGTTGGAACACTCGCTTGCGAAGCCGGATGGACCTACGCTTGACTTTGAATGAAGACTGGGACGCAAATGGCTTCAGAGCATTGGCGATTGGATCGCAGACGATTATAGATTCATCCAGGTCGTCGGGGCCAAGGTCCATCCACCCAGCCCATTTTGGCTTCCGAGTTGCTTTCTACACTGCCTATAAGACAGACACGCGCCTCGTCTGCCCGGTGCAGCTGACGACCCTCATCCAGTGCGCAACATGACCCATTGTAAACACACTGGCTGGCTGCGCGTGGCCACCAAAGACCAGGCGTACTTCGTCGAAGGCTCGGGTCGTGCCCAGAGACTGCTGGACGGTCTGCCACGCCCGGATGGCCAATACCCGAGTATTCTCGTGCTGATTGGAAACACGACCAAGCGGGTTGCCCTGCAAAGACTCGGTGTGTACATCACTGCGCCCAACACGGCCCGGGGCCACGGCGAGATCCATCTTAACCTGGCTCCTGTCGGCGCGTCCGGCGCAAGGCCGACGCTGATTGCCGATGCCGACATCCCGCCTCATAAGCGGCTCGGCAGGCCGAGAAAATCTACGCTTTGCCATGAAGTGGTAGTAAGGCCACTGTCGATCTCTCACGGCGGGAACATCTCCACAATGCCGTCCGCGATGCCGTCTGCGATGTCGCCCACGACCTTAGAAGCTAGCGATCATGTCTGTAATCGCATGCTTCTCCCGTTTGCTGATGCTGTGTGTTTCTTTGCCGACGACATCGGCGGCGTAGAGGTCGTCGCCCAGCGTCTTGCGTCATGGCTGAGCCTGAGTACGCCGTCCACATCGTCGGTGC